GACCATTCACAGCTAGACACACTAGTATACAATGGATGGCATGAATTAAGCCATCCATTGTATACAACTGTCATGTGACCTGCTGTGATTGGTCACAGCAGGTCACATGGTACCAGCAACGGGGCCGATACTCGGATTTGTCATCGGCCGTGTCCGAGGTACACGGCCGGTGACAGATCGCGCGCTGCATGGCTCTGCAAGCGCGCGAACTGCGCATGTGCGGGAGTACGCCAAATGGCGGCCTCCCGGAAAGCTAGTGCATTTTTCCAGGACGCCATATGGCTATTGGCCGGGTGTCAAATGATTAAAGGACAACTACCTCTAGCTAGACACTGGAAGCAGCATCTCATTCTATGCCAGGAATGCAAACAGAGACTTGATAATATAATGGTTAACAAGCATTTGTCTAGTCACCTAGAGGAGAAACTTTTACAAATCTGAGAACTCTGGATACAGCTACAACACCCAGAGATACAGGGCTGGCCCTTTACACCTTGAACCAATCCCATAACTACTCATTATTTCCGTGTGAAGGAAAACGTTATCTTTTTCTCTGATATTATTATTTATTACAAGCACTTATAAAGCGCCATCAATTTACACAGCGCTTTACATACATATATTGTATATTGTATATTCACATCAGTCCCTAACCCTCAAGGGGTATACAATCTAAGGTGTATTTTCCTACCTGCCTCATAGCCACTAAACCTTCTTCTCAATGTCACCCTATAAACTTCACCTACTGGTCATGTTCTCCTAAGACAAGAAGTTCTGTATTTTCCGGATGTAGATCTCAAGTTTCTTTCTTTTAGTTTGCCTAATTTGAATACTCAAGATATGTGACATCATCAGATATACAACAGATAACCTCAGAACTTTATTTTTTTCATTCTCTGTTGACTGCTACATATTTTTTTGTTTTTATTTGTTTTACATTGTAAATGTCAATTGAGAATTCATGGTAATATAAACCTATGGTGGTACATTTAATGAAATTCAACAAAAACATTGAGACAGAAACAGAAAAGTTTTCACATTATTGCCAATACTTATTCAATAAAAAGAGTTTAATTGTAAACTTTTGCTGTACCCAAAATTAAATTAAATATTTTTGCTGGATTTGGATTTTCATATATGCTTATACTGATCATATAACTGCCAAAGACTGCTCAGTTGCTGTTTTCTTTAATAATGCTTATTTTCTTCCATGCATTTTGTTATTTATTGTGTAGAACCTGAAAAGAAGTATTTGCCACTGGGAGCCGACATAACTCTTGCATGTCATTCCTCAATGCCTGGAAAACCCTCTTTCTCTGGATCTTTTGAAAGAAGGAAAAACATGAATGAATTTTTCTTTATGGATACAGTATACATTCAAATATTTGACTTTTCAGAGAATAATAGGGGGATATATCGATGTGTCTCTGACAACAATATTATTTCTGTAACATCCCTTGAGTTAAATAAAAGTAAGTATCTAGCATAATTTGTTTCAAATACACCTTTTCTAAAAATTGCCCTTTGCCCATGGCTGATATTTCCTGTATTCATAAAAAGATTAAAAGATGAACTCATTAGCAAATATTTTTTTTTATAATGGATAGAAAAAATATTATTAAACACTAAAAAGCCACAATCCATATAGGCTGTAGAAATACAATATGTACATATTTAAAAAGACATATCTGTCTTTAAAATTCCCACATTTTTTTTATATGCAGAGGAAGAAGGAATGTGATTTTGCATCCAATAAGGTAGAATTATAATAGTTTCAAGTTGTTCTTTGCAAACAGGAGTATATGGCTTTAATTTATTATAGAATATATTCAGTAGAGTTAGTTTATGCAATCTGAGATACTTCCAGTTTTCTTAGCGTCCCAAAATTGGGAGCTAGTGACTTCAATTACTTAACTCTTACTTTTGAAAGTGCTAGTTTCTTGGTAGTTGTGCTGAGCCACTAGCTTTAAAGCTGAAGTTTTTAAGGCTTATATTGTGACTTCCCCAGTCATTCCTCCTCTCCTCATCAACATTTTTAAATAAAACAGTTCACTTTTCTTTAGATACCTGAATCTTATTTTAAACCCATAATTTTAGACCCACTGTTATCTTCACTGAGTCTCTGTGCTATCCAGTGCAGGCAGATCATGGCTGGTGGGAGGTGGTAGAAGGAAGCTTATGCAGGACCCTGCTCAGTACACCTTTTAAGAGCCTTCAACATGATGTAAGCAATGGGCTGGATCTTGAGAGTAGTTGATGGGCGGGATGTCAGTCTGTAGGACTAGGTGTTTTTAGGTAGACTGCATTTGCCAGCAGACTGCTCTAAATAATAACCCCACATGCAATGCAAAGCTTCCAGGACTGAAAGGACAGAAATACAATGAAGGGGCAGGCCAAGGACAGCAAGGCTGGAGAGGAAGGCTTTTGAAGATGCTGCATGTCTTCCAGCCAAGAAATGAGATGGGCTGTATCTTATTTGCTGCAGCTTCTAAAGCACAAGCTTGTAAGAAGTGGGTAATATTAGGTTGCAGATAGATGGATGGGTGTGACTCATAATACACTACATAGGTCCTGAATATAAGGTATGCAGTGTAATCCTGGTTGAGTTGGGAGTGGTGGCAGTCATGGGGAGAGGTTTTCCTCCTGGGGGTGAAAAGCAGACCCCTCTATGGAACTTGTTACTCCCATGTTACTTGCACCACAAGTGTTTGCCTAGACTGTTGGAGTCCTGACCTGAAACCATGTAGAATTGCAAGGCCTTGCAATGTACATACTCCTGGCCTCTTATGGGTCAGTTCTGCTATGGGTATGGAGGATGGTGTACTAGAGGGTATCTAGCTCACCATCTCTAAACATGTTTAGCAGACAGGTTAGGTCTATGAGGTTGTTTTTAGTTGATTACTAATTTGTCCCTTACTACTGCTTAATTTTCCCCAGATCTTCCAGTAATTTGTGCCGGCCATCTTTTTCCTCCATTCAAGTTCATCCTTATTAACAGCAATCATCCTTAGTCAGTATTCACTACTGCTCATGTCACACTGCCTATACTAGATGATAGCAATTCAACCTACCCAGTTCTGTATTGAATGGACAAAAACCTTATATCTGTGAACATGCATGCATGACTGAAGGTACATATTTGTGGACCTGCCAACTGTTTGATAAGCCTGAGGGTTGAATGTTATTATGTATGCATGTTCAAACAACTTCAAATGTCTTTGGCCAGCTTTAGACCCCTCCTCATAGAGCAGACACCTCTTTCTGCTTGTACTCCCTCCCACTTCTTAACTTATGGACTCCTAAGGCCAGATTTACACTGTGTTGTGATAATGCCAAAAAACAGGGGTGTTCTGGTATGCTAAGAGGCTCCACATTACTAACTGATGGTTCTGTGCTGCTTTTTCCGCTTCCTAATCCTTATACTATTATGTATTGGTTAGTGAGGTTTCTCTCCACAATTAGGGTACAATAAAAAATAATAAAACACGGGAAGTGGAAGGGGGAAACCAGAAACTGCATCCAGAGAATTAGTTACTCTTAGCATGTGAGCCTATTTTTAGGGTTTCAGGACTACTCTATCAGGAACACTGTGCAGGCACAGAAGAAGCTTGCTTTTTGAAGTATGTTTTAAATAATAAAACAATCTTGTAGAAATATTCAAGATTTGTATAAGCCATCAGTGGCTTACAGCTCTTGATCTACAAATCATGTTTACTGATGGTAACAAATGGTATAGGCTTGTACCATGTTCACTATAAGCTAAAACTTTTCCAAAGTTGGTAAGTGTACAGAAGAACTTGAAATTAAATGTGAGAAGTACTGTATCTTTTATAAATAGCACAAAAAATGGGAAGTCCATAAAAAACGTTTTCACTTCTCACATTTATTATTTGAACTTGTGTTTGAATTGTTGTTGCTTACTTGATTACAGGGTCTACAGGTGAAGAACTGGTAAAGTTTCGATTGGTTGGGAATGAATTGCTGATGTACTGTAAAAGACTCACCAAAGCCAGTAGTTTCCAATGGAAGTGGATCTCTTCTGACTTACAAAGCACAGCAACAATTAAAATAATCGAAAATAACAAAATAATAAGTGTGCAGAACTTTCAAAGCCGTCTGGAATTTTTCATGGGCTCAGCAATAAAACTGTTGCCTGTGGCATTTGAAGATGCTGGGAAATATGAATGCCATTTTTCTGACCATATAGGGAAGACTATACATCTCATTACCATCAAAGGTGTGTTGAAAAACTATAATGATTATTTAAAAAAACAGAAAAAATAAGAAATTAATGTTAGCAATGGCAATTAAATACATTCACAGATTTAATTTGCACTTAATAAAATTAAAGAAAACATTTGCTTGGTTTCCATGGACAATGTACTGTAGATATATCATTTTTCTATTTGTCCCAGATGTGCCCCATTAGGCTCAATTTACAAAGTTTTTTTATTATGTTGTTATTAATTACATCTTAAAAAACCCGACAACATTTTAATACATAATCATCTACAGTTTGTTACAAATTTTGCATAACCATAAGTCCTCCCCTCCCTTTTTGTAAGTTCTTCTTATTCCTCCTTCACACCTTCGTTTCTCCTCTAAGCTCTTACCACTATCTCTCTCCCTCTACTCGTTCCTATTTTCTCTCTATTCTTCTACACCAGGGGTCACTTAATGGTGGACCACAGTCCGAGAACGACCCCAGCAGCGCTCCCTTCTGGACCGCCAGCCTGCAATGACAGATCTGCCGTGAGCAGGGCATTTGTCACGGCAACACGGCATTACGTGTGCGTCCCGCCCCTTGCAGCTCACTGTCTCTCCGGCTCCCGCTCCCTGCCCAACATAGAATGTGCACATCAGAGTGGCCCTTAACATAAAATGTACCCATCAGAGTGCCCCTTAATATAAATGTGCCCATCAGAGTGCTGCTTAACATAACATGTGCCCATCAGCATGTCACTTATTTTATGTTAAGGGGCACTCTCAGGGGGCCCATTTTATGTTAAGGGACACTCTTATGGGAATACATTATGTTAAGGGGGCACAAATGGGCACATACTGTGGAAAGTGGCACTCTGATGGGCACATGTGATGGAAAGGGGCACTCTGATGGGGAATAGGATGTAAAGGGGCATTCTGATGGGGAAATATGATGGAAAGGGGTACTTTGAGCGTAAAGGGGCACGCTGACGGGAATACCTGATGTAAGGTAGCACTGTGATGGGGATACCTGATGTAAAGGGGCACCCTGATGGGGACAACTGATATAAAAGAGCACTCTGATAGGCACACCTGATGTGATGGCATTACATGATGTAATGTTGTACTCTGATGGCAACACCTAATGTAAGGAGGCACACTGATGGGCACATCCTATTCGGACCTCGGTCAGAAGAAAATTTTAGTGACCGGATTGAATTTTAATTCAATAGCCTTGTTCTATACCGGGTGTCGGCAACCCGCGGCTCCAGAGCCGCATGCGGCTCTTTTTCATCTTTGCTGCGGCTCCGGAGCACACTGCCCACCAGGTGGTCGGCAAGCCGCAGATCGCGAGCCACATGCGGCTCTTCTGTGTGCCGGGCGCCCCGCTCCCCTCCCTCCTCAAAAATCCGGCCCGCGGAGCGTGGAACATTGGCTGTCAGGATGTAGGTGGGGCAGCCAGGATGTAGGCGGGGCAGAGTGACGAACTCCTCTCTCAGTCCGCCCTGAAGACCAGAACGGCGCGGGAACACAGCGAGAGGAACGCGCGGAGCAAAGGTAAGTGAATTGAGACAATATGGGGGATGAATTACTATGTGGGGGATGAATTACTATGTGGGGGATGAATTACTATGGGGATGATGAATTACTATGGGGAATGAATTACTATGTGGGGGATGAATTACTATGGGGGAAGAATTACTATATGGGGGAAGAATTACTATATGGGGGATGAATTACTATATGGGGGATGAATTACTATGGGGGATGAATTACTATGGGGGATGAATTACTATGTGGGGGATGAATTACTATGGGGGATGAATTACTATATGGGGGATGAATTACTATATGGGGGATGAATTACTATATGGGGGATGAATTACTATGGGGGATGAATTACTATATGGGGGATGAATTACTATGGGGGAAGAATTACTATATGGGGGATGAATTACTATATGGGGGATGAATTACTATGGGGGAAGAATTACTATATGGGGGATGAATTACTATATGGGGGATGAATTACTATGGGGGATGAATTACTATGTGGGGGATGAATTACTATGGGGGATGAATTACTATATGGGGGATGAATTACTATATGGGGGATGAATTACTATATGGGGGATGAATTACTATGGGGGATGAATTACTATATGGGGGATGAATTACTATGGGGGATGAATTACTATATGGGGGATGTATTTTCAGTTTTAAAAATGTGGCTGTCAAAATAAATTTCAATCGTGGTTTTGGCGAGATTTGGCTCAGTTGAAAAAAAAGGTTGCCCACCACTGACCTAAGGCTATGATTGTGATTATGAAGATACACTGTGGCCCTGATTAACCCTTTGCTTACTGGGCCCTTAAACCCCCTTCATGACCAGAGTGCTTTTTGCAATATATGCAGTGTCGGATTTGTTATAAATGTTGCAATGGTTTTGCGGCTCCCAGTCTTTTTTTTCCCTTCGGAAACGGGTCCAAGTGGCTCTTTATGTCTTAAAGGTTGCAGACCCCTGTTCTATACCATCAAATCTGCAAACCTTTGTGTAGATTTAAATTCACACCATCTTTCCCAGATTTTTATGAATTTACCCATTTTATCTTCTCCACTGTAATATAATTCTTCCTTTTTACATATTCTACCCTCTTTATCCAATCTTTTAGTTTAGGGGTCTCCTGGGCCTTTCAGAACTTAGGGATCAACCCTTTTACAGCATTAATTAAATGAGGTGTCATTGTATTCTTATACTGTTTTACTGTTAGGTCAGTGTTCTGGAATAAGCACACCCATGGATCTTTGGACATACCCTCTCCTACAATCTCTATTATTTGTTGACCTACTATCTGCCAAAATTCTTGTATAGTGGGACAGTCCCACCATACATGTGCCACTGTGCCCTCCTTCCAACACCCCCTCCAGCAAAACAGTGAATTCTCTGAATGTAAGTTATGAGCTCTACTGGGTGTAACATACCATCTTGCTATAAATGTATAATTCATCTCCACTGTGTTCATATCGACAACCCCCATGTGCAATCCTAAATATTTTCTTTTTCTGCTGCTCAAGCAACTGTGTTTTCAACTCTTTTTCCCATTTACCCATTGTGACAGTATGAACGGCAAAGTGATGGATGGACGATATGTGTCACCTCGCATGAGGTCATACTGTGAGGTGTAAGGTGGAGTCCACTCCGGGTTTTCGGGGCCACAATGGCAGAGGTGGTTCCGGACCGGAGTTTGTGCTCCACTGATGACCACCAACAGGTGGTATAAAGGAGGCAGGGCTGGAGCAAGGAGTTGCTCCTGGCCTGGGACTCAGAGAGGTATTCTGAGAGAGCTGTGTGTGTACTATACCTACAAGAAAAGGTTTGCTTCTGTTTTGTTTTGGGTGACAGGGAGAAGCCCTTCACCTCTGAGAGAGGAAATGTCTCCTGTTTAGTTAGTGCCTGGATGGCAAGGGTTTATTTTGATGTTTTGTTTATTTTGATATTTTTGCAAACCTTTTAAATAAAACTGACAACCAGTCAGATTTTGACGAAAGCCTGCTGTGCGGTCTACCTTTTTCCCAGGGAAGGAGATCCCCCACCTGAGCTAACCCCACACCATATACAGTGAAACAACCAGTTCAGCAATTATAGAAAGTGTCTTATAAATGCGTGAAGTGCAATGTTTTTGTGTTCACTTTAAGTTCAATAATTGCTCTAATGGATACAAATTTTCGACCTCTCTGTGGCTGTGGAAGTGATACAACAAAATATCTCAGTTGATAATACCAACATTCATCCATAATCTGAAACAAATCCCTTTTCTGGTTCAACTCTTGTAAAATGTTTAACAGCCTCCCACCCACCATTTTAGGTTTTGAAGGGCACAAGGCAGTTCTCTCGTTCTGGGAGGACATCATATGACGTCCTTCAATTCCAACCGCACATGCACGGCTCCGGGAGCGCGCAGCGATCGGTGGTGCGCTGTGTCCCTCGATCACAACGGATCAATGGAAAAAGCCAAAGATGTCGGCTTGGTAATGTGATCAGCTGTGTCCAATCACAGCTGATCACATGTAAATAGGGAAATGCCGGTTATCGGCATTTCTCTCCTCACGAGCTGTCACGCTGACAGCTCGAGAGGAGAGAAGAGCCGGTAATCGCCATTCCTCAGAGGGGACATGTGCAATGATCATCAGGGCACTGATGATCAGTGTGCCCTGATGATCTGTGTAGCCCCAGCAGTGCCAGCTGTCAGTGTCCATCAGTGCCAGCTGTCAGTACTCATCAATGCCACCTGCCAGTGCCCATCAGTGCCACATATCAGTGCCTACCAGTGCACATCAATGCCACTTATCAGTGCCCATCTGAGCTGCCAGTCAGTGCTACATATCAGTGCTGCCATTCAGTGCCACCTATCAGTGCCATTTGAGTGCTGCCTTTCAGTGCCCATCAGTGATGACAGTGATCAGTGATGTCAATGCCCATCAGTGCCTCCTCATCAGTGCCACCTATCAGTGTCCATCAGTGCAGCCTCATTAGCGCACATCAGTGAAGGAAAAAAAATCACTTATTTACAAAATTTTATAACAAAAAATAAAACTTTTTTTTTTCAAAATGTTCAGTGGTTTTTTGTTTTAGCAAAAAATAAACCGCAGAGGTGATAAAATACCACCAAAAGAAATTTCTATCTGTCTCAAAAAATTATAAAAATGTCATGGGTACAGTGTTGCATGACCGCACAATTGTCATTCAAAGTGTGACAGCGCTGAAAGCTGAAAATTGGCCTGGGCAGGAAGGGGGTGTAAGTGCCCTGTAGGCAAGTGGTTAACTCTCCCTTTTTCATATCTTTTGATTGTTCATTCCTATCTTTAATTCAAGTTCCTGCTATAGTGCTCATCCCGTGTGGGAAATAATTTGTTCCCAACAATGGTATTAATGGTGAATTATACTCCCATCCATTTTGTTTGTGAACTAAATCCCATACGCTAAACACATTCTTTGTTAGAGTACTAGTGTTTTCAGAAAACATACCATACTGAGTGGAACCGAAATAACTCTAATTGTGCTTCACTCAGTGTTAGTTCAATAGCTACCAAACATTTCCCTTGTGGATTATACACCCATTCCATTATTCATGATATAATTACTACACAGTAGTATCTTTTAATCTCCGGCATATTTAGTCCCCATTTATTTTATCCTTACACAGGACCTCATATTTCACCCTTGTTTTTTTATTTGCCCATATACAGTATATCTCTTTATCATTCCTTTTAATACCCTAAAATACACTTGCAGCAAGTAAATTGGAAGCATTTGAAATGTGTACAAGATTTTAGGAAGTATCCCCATCTTAACCATATTAATTCCTCCTAGCCAGGAAAATGATCCTTTTGACATTTTCCTCAATTCCTCTTTTATTTCATTCAATAGTGGTATGTAGTTCGCTTGGTATATACTCTTGAGTGATAGGGTTAACTTTACTACTATGTACTTTAATTCTTTATCTTGCCACTTAAAAGGTAATACTTTCAGTATATTAACCTCCCTGGTGGTCTGATTATGTCAGTATTTTTGAATGTCAAAGCGGTACATTGTTTTGCATGGAAATTTGTTGTTTTATATTGTAGGCTTAGGAATAACTCATTTTAAATCTGTCCAAACAAGAATCTAGTAAACATCCCAGGTATGATAACGTTTGAAACATGAAATCATAAATTATAATATAATAAATAATTATAAAAAAAAATATTATAATACATTTAATTCAATAATGTAATCAAACCAAAAATATTGACATTTGTCCAAACAAAGGTGTAATATTACTAGATACTACATATTGGTTTAGTAAACCTCCCGGGTATGAAAAATTTTGAAACATCGACTGCACAATGTCCGATGTCACAATCAGGATAATGGAACCTGGTTTCTAATTTTCCTTCTACTGTCATCTTGCTTCGAGCAACAAACCATGCACATCCTAGTAGGAGCTGACTTCCTCTCGGTTGGTGGGATATAGTCCACGAAGTGTTGACCAGTCAGGCGTTCCCGGGTTGACAACGCCAACAGCACGACAACCTCTATTCACAGCCATTGATGGTGTTTGGTGTTGGTGGTTCACAAAGATACTTTCGGCAATTTTCCAAATGAAGTCCGAATAAATCACAGGCTTGTCATTCTTT